AGTCCTGGATGGCACAGTGTCCAGTGTTTAGCTGCTGACCACAGGTGGCTGGAGTTCTCAGAAGTACCCTGGGAAAAGGCCTGGAGATCCACTTTTGGAAAGACAGCCGTTGCAAAACCCCTGAGAGGAGAGGTTTAGTCTGCTACGCATGAATTGGACCATACTAGACCCATGACAGCAGCAGTCAAGAAATTAAAAGACATGTTGCACTGGGAAAATCTCTGTCAAAGAACTCTGCTAGGGCATGTTGCTGCCAAAAATACTAAAAAGCAATGATGTCACTTTAAAGAAAAAGGTGTGTCCGATCTAAGTCATGCTATTTTCAATTGCTTTGTAAGCATCTGAAAGTCAGACAATGAATAAGAAGACTTAAGTAGAATCAATGTGCTGTGGTGTCGGTAACGTGTTCTGACTATCCCTTGTACTGCAAAAAAACCCCCAAAAACCCAAACAAGCTTGTGTCAGAAAAAATGCAACCAGTGTGCTCATAAGAGACAAGGACAGGGACATTCTGTCCCACATACATTGGCCATGTTTTCTGGAAGAAGCAGTCCTTGGAAAAAGACAGGCTGGGGAAGGCAGAGAGTCAGCAAAAGAGAGGATGACCCTCAACGAGAGGGACCGACCCAGTGATTTACCAGTGGGCTGGAGCATAGTGGAGACTTTGAGGATGATGCAGGAAGGTCAGGGTTCAGGCTGTGATTCATAGGTCACTATGAGCGACGTTGGCTCAATGGCACCGAACAGTAAGGTTAACAGGTGACGCTGTGCAGGGGGCTCAAGAACGTCTGTTCTGAGCACTAGTTAGACCGGTGGTGGCAGTCAGCTGAGATGGACAGCGGTGTCGAGTTGTAAAGGCAGCAGCTGCCCTCTGAACATGATTCTTTGGGGAGCTGGAGGCCTGTGGGGCCCTCGAAGGCCAAGAGAGCAGAGCAGGAGGCTCAGTTCATCTGTAGCTCATCACAATTTTTAATAGAAGGCAGGAAGCTAACAAGAAAGGAGAGGCGGTGTGTCCCTCTGGCAAGAAACTTTCCGTCAGGGACCAGAGGAAGGGTCAGGCCAGGGGTGAGGAATGCCTTTAATTATGACTCACTGGCTCATTAGAAGAATTCATCCGAGGGTGATGTCTGAAAGAAGTTACCTCGTTCTAAGTTGGATGGCGAGCTGAATGGAGAAGGCGGGGTAGGGAGTGTGAGACAGAGGAGACAAAATACTTGATTCTGATTTTCTGGGAGGAAAATCACAGGCATTATTAAACTAATTCAACTGTTACATCAATGAAGAATGTACTTCAGATTCAGAAAGCCCAGAGCAGACCGATACACACAGAGAAATAAAGTGGGGACACCTCTTGCATAATGCCCCCTGAAGGGCTCTGAAGAGGCCACGCTCTCGTCTGTCTGGGCCTGTGCTGTGCCTGTCTGGCACCTTCAGCTAAGCCTATATTGCACAAGAACTTAAGAGATCTCCAGTCTCCAGCTAAAATACTCAATTTATCTCTTAACAGCCTAAATGACATTTAAAAATACGTGGCTTGAGGAAATGACCAAAATTATGCCATTCTCTTCAAAACCAAAGGCAATTCAGCAGCCCCTCTCACTAGCAAGTTCTGCAAAAACCAGAAGGCAAAGGCCATGCTCCGGGGCCAAGGAAAACTTGGAGTACCTCCAGCCAATTGTTGCAACTGGTTTTGTACTGGGGAGAGTAAACATCCCACGAGTCTGCTCAACAGCTTAGAAACCAAACAACTTCTAGACAACATGAACGGGCTCCCCCTGGTAACCGCTCTGCCATTCTGACCCACTCATTTCAGGCTCTGACCCGTCTTACTTCCTCCTTGGAGAGCAAGCTATTTTTCTTACTGCACGTCTTTGGACACATGACACTCTTACACAAAAGTAGTTCAGAAAATCAGGCTCAAGGAAAACAATGAGTCCTAGTGGGGCATGTGAACCACTGCTTTCCCTGTCCGGAGACCAGAGGACTCAGCCAGCATTCCCACATCGCCCCGGGTCCTGGGACTGGGTTCTAAAGAGACAAGGTTCTTGCTTACCTTCAACCTCAATCCCTGTGGTTGGGATTCATCAACAATGTTCCCCCCTAGTCTGACTACTTAAAAATATTTCCTTCCCATTCCAGGCAGGAAAAGACGGAAGGTATGTGTTATTTGGAAGATGCAAGGCATATAAAGATAAGAAAATAAGCAGAGAGCAGGCATGGTTTCTTCCATTTTTATTCTAATCCTAAAACTTCCATCAGCATGAACAGGCGAGTCATTTCTTTGCATACTCATATCTGTAAGTTTTGCTTGAAAAACAGTCCTGGTGGTGCAGTGGTTAACATGCTTGGCTGCTATCCGAGAGGTCAACAGTTTGACCCCAGTAGCCACCGTGTAGGAGAAGGATTGGGCAATCTGCTTCCAGAAAGAGTTATAGCCTTCGAAACCCTATGGGGCAGTTTTCTGCACTCTATTCTTGACAGGATTGCTAGGAGTCAGGATCAACTCAGTGACAGGAGGTTTTGTATTTGGTGGGTAGGCATTTACAACTTCCCGAGGGCCCGCTACCACTCAGCAAACGAATGAGAAGGTATTCATTCAAGAAGACATGCACAGCCAGTGCCCGTGTTATTAATCAGACGCTCCAAAGTATGTCTTTTGGTTGACTTTGTAGCCCAGTCAGAAACAGGTACACACTTAAGTGGCTCTTATTTAACCTTGCATTTGGACAATAAAAGGTTCTAAGCTTTTTCAACTATTTAATCGCTGCACACACAGCAAGTAAAAGCAACTGTGATGAAAATTTTGTCAGCAGGGATTGGTCCAATTCTTTCAACGTGAAGGCAAGTTTACACAACATTAAAGGACAGCCTTCCAGGATAGATATATATATATATATATATATATATATATATATATCATACTAAAAGTATACTCCAAAACTATATATATATATATTCCAAAACTATATAAATATATATTCCGAAACTATCTATCTATATACATATCTATATATATATCGCTCTCATACTAAAAGTATACTCCAAAACTATATATATATATATTCCAAAACTATCTATATATATATTCCAAAACTATCTATCTAGCTATCTATCTATACATATCTATATATATATCGCTCTCATACTAAAAGTATACTCCAAAACTATATATATAGACCCAGCAAACAAAGAGGCATCACAGAGAGAAAGTCATCTTAATAAATCCCCACCCATACTTCCAAACTCACCACGATTCTTATCAAGAATTTTCCAATGCACTTCAAACAACTGAGCGGTTGTTAACTGAAGGTGAGTTCAGTGAGCATTTGAAATCTGTAATCATTTGATTTTCACCAACTAGAATAACAAGGGGAATGTTTCACCCTCACTAGAAAGAGAAAGAGGGGGAAAAAAAATAAAATCTACCATCCATGATCTAGAATTCCACAGCCCACTCACTCAATTTCAGAAACTTTACTGACGCAGCCGCCCCTCATGATCTTGCCCTGCAAGAAATAAACAAATACAACTACCATGCTTCGAGTCATGCTACCTAATGTGGAACTTAACGAAAAGAGAAATTTCCCCCTCCCTTGTAAGAAAAAGCTCTAAGAAAACAAAATATCTTTTCTGAAAATAACCCAAACTTGAGCATGTCTTACAATGAAAAGAGAGCTGTCCATAATTTTGCAATTTTGCCTGAAAAACTCAAAGCCTCATCAGAACTGGTTCCTATCTGTTGTACTGGAAAGAACAGATGAGATAGTTTTACTTATATTTTAATTTTGGGGAATGGAGAGATTCCCGTTTTACTTATATTTTAATTTTGGGGAATGGAGAGATTCCCTTTTATTTTCTTTAACATGTGGCAATTCTCCTCAATAAAATGATGATCACTCAAACATAATCAATCAGACTGCTGACATTTCATGTTTACCAAGCAAATGTGTAAGGAAAAATTCTCAAGCCCTCTGATTTCACAGATCAATAAATAAGACAATATGCAACCACAAGGCTTTTAAACCACGAAAACAACAATGTGAGGAAGTTTCTTAGGACTTTTTAAGCTTCTCCTGAGGCCTACAGATAAATATCCATTTTCTGAAGCTGATTTATACTCCTCACACACGTAGCTGGTCCCCAGTATGTACTTTTAAGGAAAAGAGGCTTAACATCAATAAACCAAGCAAAATGCGCTAAACCCCCTCTCCATAAGCCAAAGCGGTTCTTAGGCTCTTTGGTACAACCAAATCCATTTGCTTTTGGCCAATCATGCCACTCAACTCCTAGTCAAACAACAGAGGACCCCTGGGACCCCCCGGATTCTAGCTTATCCGCTCAGGAGATATCAAAACCAGCAGATAATCCAAAAAGAATTCTTCAAAGTATTTAAAATGCAACTTACTGCCATTTTTAACAGCTTGGTCTCCTTTAACTTTGTTTCATAATTTGAAAAGTAGAGATGAAAGGCATGTTAACACTTTGGATAGGGAATGGCGCAATGCAGCTGTGGATGAGGTGTGAGACAGGCTGGGTAAATCTCTGCTGGGTAAACCAGTCAACCTTTTAAGCACATGACGAGACAGCGAGGAATATGCGTACCTCCACAACAGTCAAGGCACCCCAAGAAATCTGCTAGCTCAAATATTGGAAACATGTAGAAGTGCTTGCTTTTATCAACCCTTTTGTTTTCTGTCATCTCTTAATGGCCACGGAATATTTATTTCACCAAGGAGTTGAACACTGCTGGAATACTGTACCAGTGACAACAGAGCAAAGGCACAGTCCTTGAAAGCCTGGCTTTAGGCGGACAAGCATTGCTCCTAGGAGACTCTACTAGGAAAGAAATACACAAAGCCGGACCAACAGACCCAACCTGAAGCGCCCGCTTCTCCAAAATGAGCCTAGCGTGGAGCAAGGCAGACAACCCTGCCAGACACCAAGCACAGATAAGAAAGCAAAGGGTGGTCCGAGGAGCGGGAGGTGCTCTGGAGACTTACCTTGCAGAAGGGCTCCGTTTCTCTTGAAGAAGGTGCTGCCTGGCCAGATGGGTGGACCTGATGTGCTGAAAGAGAAGAGAGACAAGCGTAAGTCACGCACCTGCACGTCAAACCACCTTTTCTCCAAACGCAGCCGTCCAAAACATTTCCCAGACAAACTGAGAAGGAACATCTTTAAAAACCTTTAAATCCCACTGTCACTGAGTCGATTCAGACTCTGAGCAGCCCCGGAGGACTGAGAAGAATCAAGGCTTCTGAAAGCTGTCATTCTTTAAAGAAGCAGAGTGCCATGTCTTCCTCCTGTGGAGTAAATAATGGGTTCTGAACCAGCAACCTTTTGATCAGCAGCCAGACGCTTTGACCACGGCATCACCAGGATTCCTTAAAAGGCATTTGTTGCTATTGCTGCTGTTAGGTGCCTCTGGCTTGCTATATCTCTTAGCGATCCTATGAACAACAGATCTGTATCTTGCCCAATCCTGTACCACTGTCCTGATTTCTACCCTCCTCGATACTGCTGGTAGTCAGCGTGCCAATCCATCTCCTTACGGGGCTTCCTCTCTTTCACTGCCCCTCGACCTTTCTCAGTGCAATGCCTTCTTCTAAAAACTGGCCTCTCCTGATAACATACTCAAAGTGTAGATGAAATGACACCATCTTTACCTCCAAGGAGCATGCTGGAAGCCCTTCCTTCCAGACAAATGTGGCAGTTCCTGGGAGAGTCAGCATTCTTCAACAATTCAAAGGTGTCAATTCTTCTCTGGTCTTCACAATCATTGTACAGTTTCCGGCTGCACACAAAGCAGCTGAACAGCTCATGGCCTGGGCCAGGAACGCCTTCGTTTTAAACTGACGTCCTTGTTCTTGAGCACTTTGGAGAGGCTCTTGACTGCAGATTTCCCCATTTGCAACACGTCTTTTGATTTCTTGACTGTTGTTACAATGGATGTCAATGATGAAATTGTTGACAATTTCAATCTTTTCTCCATCTATCATGATGTTGCCTATTGGTCCAGTACTGAAGACTATTGCTATCTTTTCTTTCCCTGCCTGTCTCTGCTTTTAAAAAAAAATAGTATTTTTTTCATTGTTGAATGTCTTCTCCCTGTCCCCCAGTGTACCCCTTGTTTCAAACTGTTATCATACATATAATACCTAATCATATATTCCATATATACTAGGGATATTATAGCTAATGTTAGATGGATCTTGGCAAAAAGCAAAGAATACCAGGAGAATGTCTATCTGTGCTTCATTGACCATGCAAAGGCTTTTGACTGTGTGGGTGACAACAAGGTGCGGCTGACTCTGAGAAGAATGGGAATCCCAGAACACTTGATTGTGCTAATGCGAAACTACACTTGGACCAAGAAGCAGTCATCAGAACAGAGCAAGGAGACACTACATGGTTCAAAATCAAGAAGGGGGTCCGCCAGGGATGTACTCTGTCTCCATACCTTTTCAATCTGTATGCAGAACAGATCATCCGAGACGCTGGGCTGTACAAGGAGGAATGTGGCATCAAGATTGGTGGAAGAGTCATCAACAACCTATGTTATGCAGATGACACAACCCTGCTCGCTGAAACTGAGGAGGACCTGAAGGGCTTGCTGCAGAAGGTCAAGGACTGTAGCCTCCTATATGGATTGAAGCTCAACATCAAGAAATCATAGATTCTCACCACTGGGCCAATTGGCAGCATCAGCATGGATGGTGAAAAGATTGAGATCATTAACAGTTTTAGTTTATTTGGCTCCACAGTCAACACTCTTGGTAACAGCAGCCAGGAAATCAAGAGACAAATTGCATTGGGAAAGTCAGCTGTGAGGGACCTCTCAAGAGTACTGAAGAGCAATGATGCCAGGCTGCAGACTAAGGTGCGCCTGATCCGGGCTATAGTCTTTGCAATTACGTGCTATGCATCAGAGAGTTGGACAGTGAATAGGGTTGATAGAAAGAGATTGATGCCTTTGAGCTGTGGTGCTGGAGAAGAGTGTTGAATATATTATGGACTGCTAGGAGAACAAACAGGTTTGTCCTGGAGAAGGTGAAGCCGAAATGCTCCTTGGAGTCAAGGATTCTGAAACTTCATCTGACATACTTTGGGCATGTTGCAAGGAGGGACTGGTCCTTGGAGAGGGACATCATGTTTGGCAGAGTGGAGGGACAGTGAAGGAGAGGAAAACCCTTGATGAGATGGATCGATTCTGTGAGTGGAGTGGTGGGAATGAGTGCGTCTGAGACGGCGAGGTTGGCACAGGATAGAACGGCATTTAGTACTTAGGCTCACTATGAGTCGCAAGCGACTTGATGGCACATAACAACAACAAATTCCTTTTGGGCAGTTCTTCCTCTCATCTGATCTAATACAGTGTTCTTTATCTGTACACTCCTTTCCCATTCTCACCTCCCCATGTCTGCCCTATATAATAACATCAGTGTTATGCAGTATTTGTCCGTTTGTGATAGAGACATTTCACTCAGCATTATGTTCTTCAAGCTCCTCCATGTTGTGTAATACTTTATGCGTACATTGTTTTTCCAATGCTGCGTCATATTCCACTGTGTGATTGCATTTTTCTATCCATTCGTTTATTGATGGGCATTTGGCATGTTTATTGCTGTGTTATTTATAATACTAGAGAGATGAAAGCAAGAAAAGTATCCATAAACAGCTGTTGTTTTCTTAATGCTGAGGTACAATTTATGCGGCAGACTCCGTTCTTTGAAGACTCTGTTTGGTTGGTTTTCCTCTAAACAATCTTCCTATGTGTAGCCCTGTCCACATGAGTGTTCTTATCCACAACATCCTGGCTCCCATCCTGACCAGATTCCCAGGAATTAAACCATCTGGGAGATCACCAAAGGTAAGCAAAATCCAACATGCAAACTCACATGGGTTACTATCACAGCTTATGATTTCAGAGCATTCGACAACAGTCAATATTTAATGAATTTCTGTGGCCAAGAATTCCTACCGCACCAAAAAAAAAAAAAAAAAAGAAAAAAAGAATTTCTACCAACATATTTTGAGACTAAAGATCTTTGTCAACAAATAATTCACAGTACCACCTGCCTGGCTGTAAATGCAAACTTGCTTTTCTTAGCATTTCAATAACCTTAATATACAGAAATGACCTTGTACAATTTCTTCCTTATCTACAGTCTCTTGTTTCTAATCCTGGTTCCAATTTGTTGGTTTAAAATGTTGCCTTCCATCCTTTCTAAAACATTTTGCAGCTATGTGACCACCCACAGTCTGGTAAGAGGAGAATCAAAGAGGGGGAGAAATGATCAATATATCACAAAACACTTACTGCATTTCCAGAAAAGCATTTTCACTGTTTTAAGACATCCAGTGAAAATGGTGGTAAGCAAGCCAGTCTTAGTAAAATAGCTTTAAAGTGGGAAGCAGGCTTTTTAAAACCCAGGATGGATTGAGATGAATGTTAGCCAGCAAAAAGCACTTTGTCAGAACATTACAATGTCCAACCCTAGTATATAAATTACTTTCATCAAAACAGAACTTAGCCAATGATGTCAGTTAAGCTAATGTCAATCATCTTTAATAATAACAACAACAAAAAACTCAAACTCAATCCAAATACAACACACACACACACACACACACACACAGAGAAGCTTGGCAGGTGTACACATACACAGGTGTGTACACACACACACACACACACACACACACACACACAGAGTAAGCCATCAAAAGAGTTATAAAATGAATATATCTCTCGTCAACCGGTCTCTCTAGTGCCACAGGATGACAGTGATGTTAACACAAATCAGAAATGTCAACCAGTCTGCTGACTGGTCTTTTATTACCATGGGTACAAATTGTATAACATCTTAGGGACAGATGACACGACTGGGGTAGAGGAAAAGAAAAACCCGAGTTACACCCTCAAAATACCACAAACACCAAAATAACGTCAACTTGTGAGTGAGCCCATACTGTACAGCCTGATACCACAAACTACCACAATACTGTCAACAGTGTCACACACTGTAACCCGGATGTAAATGAAGGCGTATGTTTTCTTGGCTTGGGGCCCACTGTACAAGGGCCTTAGTCTGTGGGTCCCTGGGAGACATAAAGAGTTGGTGGCGTTCATCCACTAGGTGAAGGCTGGCAGTATCAACTGAGCCCGAGGCACACTGGAAGACAGGCCTGGTGATCTTCCTCAAACCTCACCGCCTTGAAATCCCTGAAGAGCAGTTCTCGCTTCCCACGGGGAGGCACCATGAGCAGAATCAACGGCACGTGGTTGTTGCTGAAACCCACTGCCATTGAGTCTGAACTTAATCACAGCTGAACAACCAGTGGGTTTTCAGAGGTTGCAAACTGCACGGAAGAATTCCCACGTTTCCCCCAAGGAGCTCCTGGTGCATTCTAACTGCTTGTCTGTGGGCTGACAGCCCAACTCCTTCCCCACTAGGCCACCAGGACTCAACAGAGTTGGCTCCAGTTCATGGGAACCTTATGTACAACCCAAAGAAATCTGGCTTGATTCCGTGTCAGTCTCACACTCTCTGCCATGCTTAAACCTGCTGTGGGAGCCACGGTGTCAACAGATAAATATTGTTTTTTAATTATTTTCTGTGTGTGTGTACCATCAAATTGGATCTGACTGATACAGGAATAGACTGTCCCTCCTTCTCCAGCACAGCATGTGGTGGATTCGAACTGCATACCTCTGGGATTGCAGTGCAACTTCTTGCCACTAGGCCACTAGAGCTCCCTTCAACTGCTATTTTGAATGCCTTCCAATCTGAGGACTTCACCTTCTGACTTATAGCCAGCGACGTTCCACTGTCATTCTCAGGGTCCAAGGGCCCATCACCTCAGGCACGAATGGCCTTAGTCTGGAAGCTCTGCTGAAATCTGTCTACCATGTGTGACCCTGCTGTTCCAGCATCACAGTACCATCAAAGCCACCACAGCACAGCAAACAACATACTCTGTGTAAACTAAGCTGTGACAGCATCCCTTATCTTCTATGCAGGAGACCCAAGAGTGACTGATTTCCAATCAATGTACCTCAAGTGGGGC